TGAATGAATGAATGAAAGAGTGAATGAATGAATGATTGAATGAATGAATGAATGAGTGAACGAACGAACGAAGGAATGAATGAACGAACGAAGGAATGAATGAATGAATGAATGAGTGTGAGCGTGAGAGAAGTGAGAGAGTGAGAGTGAGAGTGGGCATCTGCACGCTTCAGAAAGCACAGATTGCTGCGCCTGCCACGAAATCTGCACTTCGAGGTCGCGCCTGCCACGACATCTGCACTTCAGGTTCACAAAGCGCTGGGCCTGCCACGAAATCTGCACTTCGAGGTTCACAAACGCTGTGCCTGCCACGAAATCTGCACTTCCAGGTTCACAACTTTGGCCCCTTCGTGATTTCGGTCAGTTGTAATTGAACTTATAAGCGTTTAGCCGAAGTTAGCTCAGGGACACTTATGATTGACTTAGCAGTACTTAGCTTCCAGTTAGCCTCGTGCCAAGCGCCCTGATACAGTCCTGATACGGCCTTGATATATGACGCACGGCGGGTACTTAGTGGACTTAGCCAAGTGACTTGTAGGTTACTTATAAGTTGCCATTCACGTTAGAAGTTAAGTTCACTTATAAGTTAGCTAAGTACAGTTTTTAAGACATATGTTTCAGCAGACCTATACCTCCACTAGCCTTGCTTAGCAAACTTATAAGTGCGGCTGGCAAACTTATAAATTTCACCTAGACAACTTATAAGTGAACTTATATCTGGCACAATTGCCTAAAGCGCCAAAGAAAATGCTGCGCCTGCCACGATACCTGCGCTTCGAGGGTCACAAAGCGCTGCGCCTGCCACGAGTTCTACACTTCCAGGTTCACAAAGCGCTGCGCCTGCTACGAAATCTGCACTTCGAGGTTTAAGTGCTGCGCCTGCCACGAAATCTGCGCTTTGAGGTTCACAAAGTACTGCGCCAAAAGTCACGATTCATTGCGCCTGTCACGGAATCAGAGCACGTCGAAGATTGCCACCATGTCCAAAGTGCAGCCCCTGCCAAGACATCTAACACATCAAAGTAAAACCGCTCTGATCCCTCGCCTGTCACGAAAAGTCGACTATAGACCACCAAAACACGAGGTGCCCCTCGCCCCTGCCATGAAAAGTCACCACCGTGCCCGAAAATGTGCACGGAGCCACAACGAGAGCGCTGTCGCGACAAGCGCCCTCCATGGCCAACCAGATTTTGCGAGCCTGCGCCTGCGCACTTCGAGGATTTCGAGAGGCATGAATGTACTGCAAATAGCAACAAATTAGCCGGGCGCCCTGACGCAACACCTCGATTACACACCGGCCCTTATAACTTCTGCCGTAAGAACCCCTAGTGTTTTTGTGGGCAAAGTAAAATGCGGCAAGTCTCATATCCATCCACACGTCGATCTGCCAAGCCTCTTCTGCCCAAGATCTCCTCCCAGTACCAGTCAGGACGGTGCCCTACTGGCGTATAAATCGACGGCGCAGTGGACATGGATTTCCAAGCAGTCTTCTTCTTCCTCGCAATCCAACAAGTAGCCATTGTGATCACTGCACGAAAGGCGAACGAAACACCTTATTTTAAACTGCGCCTTGGGAAACAGGTGGCCCACCACACAATCAAATGCATTGGAGTCCCTCCTCCTAGCAGCTACTGCAAGCCTCCCATCTTATGTCCCAAGGCCACTTGAAAGCCATTCCAGTTGCTTTAAATAAGCGCATACATTAAAAAAATAAACTGCTTTTGACCAGTTTCTCATAGTAAAACAAGCATTCTGCGCCAGCTGCTGGCAAGGCGAAAATGAACACTGCGGCGGCCCAGTGCATCTCTCACGTGGAACTACGAGTGGCTGAGTTGTTGCAAGAATTTCTTCAAGTGTTTGCTTCAACAAACTTAAATTGAAAATTCCTTGTCTGGTCTCTCAGCCAGGGGTGCAAGGCCAATGGGTTCAAAGCCTGAAGGAACCAACTGGCGTCCCACAAGCAGAGAATAGTGTCAAGTGAACCATCAGCTTGCGCAACAAGTCAAAGAAACTCTGTGTATGATCTAGGGTGCTATAAAACTCCAAACATTGGTGGTACCTGGAGGGGGGTGCTGGAAAGCCAGCCCCAAACGATTCAGATTGATTATAATGCAAAAGAAACAGAAGACTGAGTAGCTTGTTATACAGCAACAGAGAATGAGAAACCTCTTGCTCTCTTGCTCTGATGCATGATGCATTGCGCTAAAGCAAAAAGACTCCAGCAGCGATCTACTGCTGGCAGCGCAGGCGTTCAGACGAAGAATCTCCGAGGACCAGGACGAATGCACTGATGAAGTGAAAAATACAATTACCATGAGACCCATGAGTCATCACAAGATTATGGCTGCCCAATTGCCCGACGTGGGCGATCGCTTCTTGGCTTCATCGGCGACACGAGAGAAGTAATTAGGCTCACTGAAAAGGAGACCGAGGAAGTGGAGGAGTTGGAGGACGACGCCATGAAGAAGATCAGGGGCAAGGGGGTTGAGGAGAGAGAAGTGATAGGAGCCAGAAGAGCAGTGGAAAGTGGAAGGCAATGCGCGCAGAGGTCTGGGCAGAGCCTTGGAAATGCAGCACGACTGGGTGTTGAAAATATGCGAAGAGCGAACAAATTTTAGACTCCAAAATGTTCGTTGGGCGGTATCGGTTTCTTGGTAAATACATGCGGAGATGTAGCGTGGGGGAACACGGCCAGGGAGCTGAGTGGAACGGGCGCAACAGCAAGTTCTATCAGAAACCGCACGACCGATCACCCCAAACCGCGCCCAAGCCTCGCGCCTTTTTACTGATCCTTTGAGCCAAAGTGTCGTCATACATGCATTGTATTCAATGCCCTGATCATGGTTGGCGCGCAAGTCTGCATTCCTTTCTTCTCCTCCTTCTTGATTTCATCGACGGGTTTGAAGAAATCTTGTCTCAAGAAGGATGCGGTGAACGAACGCGCATCAACTCCAAGGCAGCTGGCCGTGTGGAGGGCTCTCAGCTTAGTGAAGGGATCAACTCTTTGCATACTTGTTTTGCAGTAATGCAGAAGCACCGTTGGTTGGATCTTCGAAGGCTTCGCGCAAGCTCCAGAGGTTAAATTTATGAACTTTCTTCACGCGCCTAAGCTTTGCTGATTTGGATCACTGATGCGTTGCCCTGCGTACAAGTCAGTTTCAGTCGCGTATCAAAAATCATATTGGCAAGTTCCTGCGTCGGTAACGCTTGCCTGACAAATCCTGCGTCAAGCCTGATGACTTCTGCCTTGAAAGTGCTTCTGGCTGCCGCGCCTTGGCGCTTTGAACCCCAACACAACGGCCAAAAACCCTTCGGGCCTTCCAACGCCAACAACATGCCGGACGTTGACTCAACATCGTCTGAACCTGATGCGTGCTCTGCATCTGTATAAAGGACGAATTCAAGATCATTTTTGGCCTCAAGACAGTAGTCAGCTGCGCGCTTCAAGTTATCATCGGCTCGGCTCTACTCTATTCCATTTTGTGATTTGAGAAGCGAGATCAGAAATCCCTTTTAGCAAGTCAGGACACGGCTTAGCCTGACGCTCCATAACAGCTTCAGCCCTCTCTTGTCCCAGTCTTAGTCAACGAGCGAACCTTCATTCAAGAAAGGGGTGGCTGCTGGCTTGAGGCTTGAGATGCCTTACAGGCATTGCTGGCAAACTCGGTCACGTCGTACCAGATCGTGGCGCCACGAACGATGTCGCGATAGTTACTTCCTGCTGGAGTTGGTTCTTCAATCTTGATGGACTTGGAGACCTCTCTCTCTCTCTCTCTCCAGAGCTTGTCATGCTCCTCGCTTGGACCTGAAAGCAACATAAGTTAAATTCATGGTATGTGAGCCTGCATTCACAGCAACTGGCTCTCAAAGTGCTCCACTACCATGCATGTACATGAAGTCCATGATTGCAGGCTGATGGTCTGCATGGAAATTGGTCCATGCATGATGGTTTGCATGGAAATTGGTCCATGCATGATTGCAGGTTGATGGTTTCCATGGAGATTGAGCAATGGTTTTGTGCACCCACCACACCCACCAAAAAAAAACAAACACACATTTGAAGTATGGAGATGCCAGCTAATCCATGCAAGCTCCAAAACCAATTGGTCATCTAAAGCAGGAGATGGCTTCAGCAGAGAAACTAAGGTTCTGCAGCGGTAGGTTCTAAGTTGTTGTGGTAGGTTCTGGGGGTTTGGTCTCGTTCGTTGTTCGTTGTTTGTTGTGTTGTTTTGCTTGCCCGCCCGCCGCCCCCTTTGTACACGGCCGCCCGCGGCCGTGCCGTGCACCGGGACGCCCGTTGGGCACCTCAGAGTGTGATTGGTCAGCAGCGTGCCGAAGGGTTTCAGCAGCTAAAAGAACTATACTAAATGCAAAAACCACTATGAGTGCGGTTGTTGATCCTTTAGGCAATCTGCGTCAGTCGCTTTGACACTGATCTCGGTTTATATGGACATTTAAGATTTCTTTGTTGATCGTGTTTTAAGAGCACCAGACCTCTTCTCCCCATAGACTCATTGGCCTGAGGCCAAGGCATTGGGGTGTCATCTCAGGCACCAATGGTCCGACCTGGGAAAAGTTGGGAGAGACAGGGTGAAGGGTTGTTTTTTGTTTTTTGGTTCGAGTACGCTTCGATTTTTAGGTATGTCTTCTCCTTACAGGAATCCACCGAATCAAAAACAATTATACATATATATAAAGATAAGATACGACGATAAGTGTGATTACACACCAGCACACGGTCAAAACACACAGACTGATTTTTCCCTGGAACACATTGTTTTGGTGCATTGTTCCATTAATTGTCCTTCAAACTGCCAACTACAAGTTGATTGTGTGTCATAGCACAATCGTCCCAAAACCCCATGGGCGAACAGCTGGTATCATCACACAGCGCCTGACTCAACAGAGAAACAACCAAGATAACAACCTAGCAGCAAAATTGGAATCCTGGAAGACAAAGTTCCAAATAGAAACCCAAACAACATTCATCAAAATTCATATCACTTTTGAACACCAGCACGGCCCGCAATCAGATTTGCGCGGACTGAACTTGACATCCACGCTTTCAAAGCAGCGTTGCGTCTCTCCATGGATTTGGGGAGACCGCAATTCTCAATCCAATGCTTGATGAATTTGTCCCGCTCTTCACCCAAATGGGCTCCGGCATTCACAGGGCGAGCAACTTCACGCACCAAAATTTCTGGCTGAACCTCTGGCTGAGCATTCGAGATTCGGGGAACGCCCTTGGAAATCCACTTCTGGTGCCAAGCCAAGCTGTTGGCACGGTGAAGAATGACCTGCTCAGGAGTCTTCTTCTTGGTTTGGTCCTGCTTCATTGCAGGCTGAGATTCGTGCTTGGCCTCACAAACCTGGTTCGATGCACCGGCGTTGCCGGATGGTTCGTTCTTGGCTTCAGCTTCCAAAAGCCCAGGCTCCTCAAGAGCCTCAAGAGCGACAGTTTCGTCGCCATCTTTCCCAAAAGCAACATCATGGGCCTGGCTTTCAGACATGCTGTAGACCTCCTGAGGCACCAAGTCAAAGAACTCCTCCGGAATTCGTGCACTTTTTCGGAGGCTGATCGGAGACTTAGAAAGCTCAGCTTCACTCAGAGGATTCGAGCCACTAGCTGGCTCTAGTGGTGGGTCAAACTGGGAATCCTCTAAATCAGGATATGCATCATCCAAAGGCTTCTCAAGCTCAGGCCCCATCTTCCGAGCCATCTTGAGAGAATTGTCAGACCCCATCTTTGGAGGATCCTCAAGCCCCATCGTCCCACGCTTCTCAGCCCACACCCTAAGATGTTATCAATCAGCAAACATTCAAATGACTGAAGCCTTGAAGCCTTGAAACACAATTCAAATGGTTGAGCAAACTTAAACTACCCACAAAAAACATTCTCAACAAATGCAAAGTACGGTTTTGCCTCGACTGGTTCGACTGGTTGTAGCGCAGTGTTCTGAAGAGGAGATGTAATGCAGAAGATTGCGGAATGTGGCCTGGGTGGATCGTGGATCACCGAAAAGCTTGATGGCACCGGAGGGGGTGTCGGCTTTGCCTTCTTCCATGGCCGAGATGGCACCTCATAGTCATAGTCCACAAGATTCACACCATCGTCCATCACCATCTGGGTCCCACAAGAAGTGAACGCCATGATGTCACTACAGCAGGTCAGCAGGTGTCACAACAAGCTTCGAGAACAAAAGCCTTTTGCACAAAATGGTGAGTGTAACATACACCCATCACTGCCATAAACTCAACATCAACTTCTCTTGAATTTGATGACCGCACAATGCAAGTACACGCGACTTTCTCAAAGCACACCCCTGTTCTGATGGCTGACTTCGCGCCAACTGCAGACAGAATCACACACTATGAATAGTGCGGCGCCTGTGCAAAAAGCACTGGCTCCCCGGCAAACCTTCCCCCCAGAAAAGTCTCACCAAAAAATTAACACGATTTGAAATCGAGTCATGACCTGCAAGAGGTTTTATTCTGACATTTCTTATCACAGGCAAGACTGAGAGGATCAAATAACCCTTTGGCACCCGCCCTTTGTCAGCTGCAAAGTGCCAGGCAAATACCATAGTGGCTTAGCAGGCGCCACGCACTTTTCGGTGGTGTAAGTGCGGAGACGCCATACCTGAAATTTCAACAGCTTGGCCAACGCGCACGGTTTTTATCCCAATCGCTTGGACAAACACAAACAAAGGCAACCGCAAACAAAGACAATCACCATTTCCAATCCTTCCAAAATACAAGCTTCAACGGAGAGGTCTTCAAAATCTCCCAACTAAAGTGCCCTGCTAGATTTGCCGACTTCAGGCTCTTGGTTTGGACAGCATTTGACCTCCACAATAGCGGATTTCCTGGATCAGCAGAATGTCAAAGCGATCATCTGCCCGCCCTTGCTTGACCTCTGCTGGGCGACCGCAAGTATGCCCTCCGAGGCTTACTCTACCAGGCCAGTCTTTTCGATCTCTTGCAGCGCACCTCGCAATGTCATGACCGCGGTGTCCTTCCCACCCTCAGCCTGACAGGCAACAAGCCAATTAAATGCACAATATCATTGATTTGAAGAAGATTGAAAGCAACAGCTTGACCCAACAAACTTGAACAACCACTTGAACAATCAACAATATTGAATTTGACCATCAATCTGGCCTCAAGGACCACTGCCGCTTCATCGGTCTCAAAGACGCACGGGACAGCCTTGCCAGGGCTGTTGGTCTGAAACTTCGTGGCCTTGTCCCCTGTGAGCCACACGCCTGCCCCATAGCTGATGAGAGCTCCATCCCGTGGTGACATGGATGCAGGATCTTTGGCGATGATGTACAGCTGTGGCCCTGGGGTCAATGCAAAAGAAGTCACAGGCGACGGCCCTGGCATCTCCACAATATCGGCTCCGAACTTCTCCTTCAACTTGTCCAGGGTCGTGGGAGCCCCTGGAAACAATGAGCTCCAATCATATGAGGACTGCGCGACACTCTCTCCCACCTCGGTCTTCACTTCAGTCTTGACTTCTGAAGTAGGGGAAGGAGTGGGCGGAGGCGAAGAAGTGACAGGGCTGCCCCAGCTCTTGTCAAATGCCACCACCACCTCGCGCCACTCTGGCCCATGCATAGGGCATGACAAGTACTGCTTCCTCACATCCTGTGGGATGCAAAGCTTCCCGTCAGCAGCCAATGTGCACAGCTTCAGTTCGGGCTTGGCGATTGCTTTTGGAAGCTCCTCTGCAGCAGCATCCTTCTTGTAGCGGGGCGTAGAGCGATCCATCGGCGCCTGTCCCACTTTCCATGCCTGCAACCAATGCACTAAAATCAACAAATGCCAAAAAGCATACAACAAATGCATCAAATACAACTAATACATCAAATAATTCAAATGCAACAAGTGATACATCAGACACAAACAGCTGAAGAAAACAGATCACTGGAGGAGAATCACTCTTCACCAAAACTTGCCTGGAGAAGGTGATCCTTCACCATCTCCTTGGAGCTTCTGAAGCATGCTTCAAAGGCGGAAGTCCCAGAAGCCCAGTAGCCAAGCTGAAGCGCAGCAAGTTCAACACATCCATCATACGTAGTTGGATGCACCACTACAAGGCCGTGCGAGTTTTTGACATTGCCTGGGCTGACAAACAATGGAACTGAACAGGTCAATGAGAAGACGCTCAAAAAAGAAGACACCAGAAAGTAAACCTGCTTCACAAATCAAAACATGTAAGGAACTCATCAAGCTCTCCATGATTGTCTTTGGAACTGCAACTCCTCCAAGCCATTGTGCGGTTTCCTGGGCGTCAGTGAGGTTGCGCCTGCTGTCATGTGATAGCAGGACCCCATCTGCAGGCACCACGAACTTCGACTCTGGCAAAGCTGTGGGAAACTTGTTGGGCGGCAAAGCCTGGCGAAGCCACAGCGCAGAGTTGCAGAACCTGAGTTTCTCATGATGGCCACAAACACTGCAAACTTTTCTCCAAACTATTGAAGATCAAAAAATTGAAAGCCAAAATATTGATGAAGTATTAGAGACTCCAAGCAGCACGTTGACCGGGTGCTCAGCTTCAGGAGTGCCCCTGACAGCTCTGTGGGCTGTTCCTCGAAGCGGGAGAGAATGATCCAGCACTCCCAGCAGGCAAACAAAGGCCGCTGGCAACTCTCTGTTCTTGCGCAGATCGTCCAAATTGAGGTTCAAGGAGAACTGACGTGTTTCTATGTGATGATTCAGGAGCTTGTCTTCCAACTTCCTCGCATCACACAAATACAAAAACCTTTCCCAACACCGCTTCCCAAAACAGCAAAGCGCCACCGAATCATTTTGAAACACCCAAGTCCTCACCGATCCACGAAGGGAGCCAGCAGAGTCAGTGCCAACCAGCAATGGCGGGATGAGGACCATGATGGATCTTGCTGGATTGCGGGAAAGGATCTTCTCAGCCACATCTCCAATCACATTGATGTTGGCCTGGTTGATCACTCCCAGCTTTGTGCAGTCAATGTAAAGGAGAGTGTCAATCTCGGTCGGCCCAACCTACAGGAATCAAACACATTCAAACACCATTATCATCAATCAACCAACCCCTTGAAGCAAAGGTTTAAAACCATGGGCTCAAACATACAGATTGGTTGGCCGCACTTGCCCCACAATTAAAACACATGTTCGCCTTGTGGTGCGCTGCAGCGTGGCGGAATAGCTGATCCAGCTTGGGGTCCAGCGGCGTCTTGTCAGAGACCATGGAAACACGGCAGCATTTCTCCATGAAGGTCTCTGCCAACCTCAGACATTGATCAACAAAAACTATTTTGTGACATGTTGTGAGTAATATATGATATGTCTATGTCTGAACTGGTCAAAACAGAGCAAAAGGTTTTCTTGGAGCCAGGAAACTCTTTGCCGATCTGTACCTGCGCCTTTTCATGTAGCACAGACACCACGTGAAGTCGACGCTTGTGCTCTTCAGACGCGGCATTGAAGGCGCACATAGCCGCCTCATCCTGCGCCAGCTTCGCTCTCACCTCTCTAAATCGTGCCATGCTGACTTCTTCTTCAATTTCCATCAACTCGCTGGCCGAAGGAGGGAGCTTCTTCGGCGTAGATGGGACCTCAACATGATCTGCCCAAAGACCAAGGTGTTGCGGAAGCCATGTAGCAAGCTTTTCCGAAATCACTGCTTCAATGTCCGAGAAGTAATCCCTGAGTTTGTCACAACTCATAAACGGTAAAAAGTACAGTAAAAACTGTAAAACACAACAAACATCAAACAACTCTGCACCCAGTCCAGCAAACATGAATAAAACAATTTGGAGCAACTTGGAATAATTGCGCCAAAATTCTTCTGCATAAAGGCCTTCATGATAGCTTCCTCTTTGGCTGGATCCCAGGTTGATAGAGCGCGTGCTTCATCAAGGATGGCTGAGTAGATGCAGCTGAACTCGCAGTAAGCATCGAACTGTGCTGAGGACAAGCGGACTCGTGCTTTCGAGGAGGCTCGCAATCTACGTCCAGCCTCATGGAAGGCGTGAACTACAAGGCGGAAATGCAACTCTTGGCTCTGCTCTGTCACCGTCAAGCATTTCTTGAGAGTTGGTGGGCAACCGCTTGCCTTTGGCGAACTTCCCAGCATCCAACGCTGCGACCGAAGCTGTTCTGTGGAAAAGGCGCATTGTGCCCATTTGTTGTGATCACAATGCGCTCGCATGATGGCCCTCGCCGCCTTGCATCCAGCACAATGCAAACAGTAAGTGGACATCTAGCCCCACAAAGAAAACATACAAAAAAGTAAAACAGCGCAACAAGAAAGCATCATTGTTGATCAAAGTACTGCGCACGTCCCTGCTGTGAGGTTGAGTATGGATCGAAAGCGGTCTTCATCAACTTGATGCTTTGATTGCAGGCCTGAAGAGGAATTGAAGTCATTGACCACAGATCGAAGGCGTTCTTCTGTCGAAGCGCCAGGAAGATGCTTCCCCTCCAGGTCCCTCAATTCCATGACCCGGGAAAACCTCAGCCCCAGCTGCAGCACGTTTGGTGCTTGGCGCTCAGACCCTCTGTAGGAGAGGGTTAAGTTGCGGAAGGAGCGGGACGTCGGGTCCAGGTCGAAGGCCATCTCAGCAAGTACAAAAATCAATGAAATGACCAAACCAGGACAACAAATTCACTTGGCAAAAAAGAGCACCAACACCAACACCAAAACAGCATTTATATAAGTCTAACAGCAACCAAGACACATGAACCAGAAGGCACCAGGCCTTATCCAAGATATGGTGCATGGGTTGTAGCTTTGCTGCCGTGCTGTCATCATTGAAGTCCAACTCGGTGGCAGCGAGCAAGATGGTGGCAACTACTGTCGACCTTGTCCAACCTTTGACTTGGTCAACTGATTGCTCATGGCATTGCCACACTCCTTCCAGGATGATAAAAAAGCTGATCCATTAAATGTTGAAAGGCTGCCTGAACACCCTTTCAACCTTTTGTGGAGTTTTGGAAAACAACAAAAAACATAAGACTAACACATTTAAGAAAACCCGCCGTTGATTTGAAACTTCCGTCCTGAAGATTCTGGGTTACTGGAAACTTATTGGTTTACTTGAAACTTACGAGTTACTTGAAAAATCGTGGATGCGTTTGTATTTCCCCACCTGATGTTGCAGGCATGCTGCCATCTAGAGGCTCACGCCCCAACTCGATGCCTCCCAGCAACATAGATTCAAAGGTCCCAACCCAGTCGGACACGCATGGTAGACCGTCGTCTGGTTTGTCGAACCTGGGCCAAACGGGTTGGTGTTTCAAATGAATTGAAATGGAAGAACTAGTGCGAGTGGCTTCAGGCATGTGATCGGGAGTTTGATGGTCTCATCCCGCATGCTCGGGTCCATCTCCTGAAGCAAAAGAAAATAGCACATAAAGTCCGAAAGTCTACTATATACAGAATAAACAGATTATCTAAAAGGGAAAACCAAACCGTTGAACTTCTTTTTGAAACTGTAGGGGGAGCTTCTTGCCCAGGTGGTTTGTAGAGATACAGCATGCCACGATGCTTTGCGTAGTCGGAGTACCAGGCTGCCATCTGTTGGCAATGGAGCTTGGATGTTTTCTCTTCGCTTCCAAGAAGTTCCAACACAAAGCTAGCTGGATGAGCTCCTTCTTCACACGTCTCTGTCTTGAAGACGTGACGAACTGATAGAGATCCTGGTGGTTGGATGACATGGAATCCTTTTGGCTAGATCGCTGAACTCAGAATACATCACAAACAGATCCAGACAGGTTGATATGCACATATGATAAAGATCCACTATAGTATATATATATACCATTATATACCATCCACATACATTGCAACATGTTGTTTGAACTGTCTCCTTCATCAGAGACAGATCACCCTCAAGGGATTGGAAATGCTTTTCAGCGGCCGAGCATACCTTCTTGCCGGAAGGCCCTGATGGCTTGACGTCAGCATTCGTGGCTGAAGCCTCGGCCTCAAGCTTGAGCTGGTCGATCTTCGCTCTGAACGGGCAAAGGGCGGTCATGTTTGCGGCGCCCTGGACAACCCTGCCCTGAAGCCAAGTTCTGCTAGTGATCCACACAAAGTGCATCGACTTTTTTCTTCGACCTCCAACATAATTTCAATGCACTGCCCAGCTCCCAGTGCATCGATCCCTTATTCATTTTTTGTAGAGGTTCAATTTTTTTTGGCGGCCAAAAAAAATTGAACTCCACCCAAAAGACAATAGCTTTTCAATGGACCAGACAGCCCACAGTGCATCGACATTTTTTTGGGATGTTCGATTGAATATCAACGGACATATTGTGGATGGGACCTAAATTTCAATCGACCAGACAACCGCCAGTGCATCGAAAATCTTGCTGGCACTGGCCGGAATGGTCTGGAGTGCATCGATAGTTTGTCTAGTCACCATGGATCCACCCCAGGTGCATCGATTCTTGTGGGTCAATGACCTCCGGCCCCTGAGGTGCATCGATTTCACTTTGTGGATGGCCCGGAAACCCAAGGTGCATCGAAAACGGGGTCAACCCCCCCCAAGGTGCATCGAAAACAGGGGTTCCACCCCCTGAGGTGCATCGAAACTGGTTGTCAACCCCCTGAGGTGCATCGAAACTGGTCGTCCAACCTAGTGATGGCCTCCAACCTACTAGTGACGGCCTCCTGATGTCTCGCTCTTACCTCTACCTATGCAGGAGCGGATTGGGATAGGAAACTGAATCTGGAACCTGGACCCTCCCAATGTCCCACGGCAAACTTTTCCACAGACAGTGTTTATCCGTGTTCATCCGTTTCTTGAGAAGATGGCCCGCAAGGGCATTGCAGGAGCAAGTGAGTCATTCACTGCTTGATGCATCACATATCGAGGCTCTGCCAGTCCTGGTTGGAGCGGCGCGGGCTCTGACTGCCAAGGCAAGGGCTCTAGTTCTGAGTCTCGCCAGAAGGAATTGGAGGCCAAAGCTTCTAGGTAAGCTGCACTTCGTTGGTACGCATGGCCATAGGTGGATGTCACAGCCACTGCTAGTGCACGCCATGTTTTGGCAGAAGCTTCAGTGTGATTGTTCACTCTCCTTACTTGTGATGGGGTTCAAAGGATCCACCAAATAACAAATTACAAAACTAGGAGAAAGGCTCGGCACCTTTATTGAAGGAGGCCTGGGCAGGGCCTGTGTTTGGCAAAAACAACATTATGTCCATCAATTCGGGCATGGCTCTTCGAATCCGGAACCAAAGAAAACCTGGCTGCCCGGTCGTGTGTCATCACCAAAAGGGGCTCCTGGGCAAGCTCGGCATCGCATATGTATTTCTTAATGAAGCAAATGACGTCGTGATCCGAAGGTGCGCCCTTGAACGAGCCGGAGTTGATGTTTCTCGCCAACGCTGGAGGCACATCTTCAGGGAAAGTGTGTTGAAACAGTTCTGTTAAAAGAACCCAAACAAAAAGAGCGCCAGAAACAAATGCTTTGTTTCCAACTCTTGTAAACAATGATTTTGATATCGGGGCTCGGTGGGGTCATGTTAATGTTTAGACGTCGGTCACCTCGTCGTTGAAGGCTCAAAAACATATGACTTCCACTGTCATCTCGCAACAGTCCCCCCTCCAACTTTATTCCTGCAGCGGGAAGATGGTTCCTCCAATCTCTAGTGGAGTTCACCTTCTGCACAATGACCCGTGTGGAAGGTCCTATCCAATCGCGGACGCTAGCTTTGCTCAGCTCATCCCTGATGATGGACACTACATCGTCCGGGTCTTGGATCGACGATTCAAAGCCCACTCTTCGCGATATAATTCCCCACAGCTGATCTTGGTTGGCTGGTTGGTTGATGCCCACTACAGCCACTACAGTCACTACAGACAGCCAAACCATAACGCGTTAAAGTTGTTTTGGGTCCAGGCACCTATCCGACAGTGGGTGTGAGACTTCCGAAGATGGCAGAGGCAAGAAAGCTTCATGCGGTGTTGTGCTACCAGTAGGTTGAGCCATGTCATGACATATTGGTTTTTTGCCTCTCTGACGGTGTTGTCAGCCTTGCTTGGCGATTCCGATTCTAACTAACCGTAACTATATAACCCCCAACAAGTCAACACCACACAGATACAGGAAAAACACATATTACTTGGTGTTGAGAATCGTTGACGTACAACGCTGACGGTCGAGGACGCCCCTCTTCATCGCAAGCTTGCATTGCCTCACACACTCTTGAAGGGTGGGTTAAATCTTGTTGGGGACAGACCTATAGCCCAAAAGTAGAAAACATTGTGGGAAGTTCCTGCCCAGCCCAGAACTTGTTTGACCAGGTGGCATGCTCAATGGTCAAAGACAGCAACTCAATGATGCAAGCGCTGTCGTGCTTTGCACTCTCGTCCAGGACCCCCACCACAAGGCAGTGTCCAAACGCCCAAGCCCCGTGTGGACCTTCACGCGAGGTCGTTGATGCTTCGCCCTGAGACCCAGCTCCGGTTGGGGTGAGTCAGGGTGATGACCGTGGGTTAGAAGAGTGAGGTCCACTATTATTCCTCTCCACTATTCTAGGTTGAGTGGCCAAAAGCTTGCAATTATATCATCCCAGAATCAATGAAGCATTGGCCCGAAGGCCAGGCTCACGGGGGAGCGCAAATTTGGCTTGATCAAGGCCGTCAGTGGAAATAAATAGAACATCACTGCAACCATCTTGGGATTGGGACTGGAGCGTCCACATGCAACACCGGTCGCTGTATTGCTGGTGTAGATGTGCTCTGTACAGCTTCAGAGACCCCAGCTTTTGCTCTAGCGAAAATGACTTGTTGTTCAGCTGGCCCTTTAGCGCTGTGCATACCTCGCAAGAGGAAAATACTGACATCTGGCGAAACCTCAAGACATCCCTCCATCTCTGTTTGTAGACTGTGTTGAACGTCTTGTACCTTAGGTTGGTCAGAGATGACACCGCCTCCCTGTCCCCTGAGAAAATATATTATATAACTATATATGTTTGGTGAAAGGCATCAAAAGCCAAAATTGTTTAGAGCTAAAACCAGGTGGCGACACAGCGTGACATCCCAGTAGTTCCTGGGTGGATTTGTAGTGTTCGAACAGGTCTGCAACAGTTCCGGGCGCAAGGTATTTTCTCACCATAGTGTGTCCCGGTAGAAGATCGGTCTTGCAGTTTTGGGTTGAGAGCCAAACTCTAAGCTCTTCTGTGTTCTCTATGTCAGAGGCAACCTCTTCATAATCGGACGGCCCATCATCATCCAAGTCTGGCTTGGGACGGGCGGCATGCCCACGCCGGACAAACCTGATTTGGACTTTGAACCATGGAGGAATTTATCCTTGAAAGTCTACAAAGAAGAGAAGAACAATTTACACTACTTGTTGATGAGGGGCTCGTCGGGAAGGGTCTCTGCTATGGCATCGTAGCACACTTGCAAGAACCCGTCTACAGTCCAAGTTCCAGGTCTGCTGCGGTACTCTTTGCGCCCGTGCCTCAAATCAGGCCCGCCGGCGCTGCTTGCGGCCAATCTTCGGTGGCCAACGCCGAGAAGAGACGCAAGGCATTTGAACCCGACCTCCTTCTCAAGAAGTGTGCAGCTTCTGCGGGAGCCCCCCCTCTGTAGTGCATAGTCCCATCTTAGCACAGTAGGCTACACGGCTGCAACGATCTTTACCATTTAGGTCTGAGGGTGTTTGTCTACCATCAATAAGAAGAGAAACATTGGACATGGTTGAATGTTGCTTCAAGGCACCAATGAGTCCTGATCTCGTTTGTCCAAGCTCCAAAACTTGTCCAAAAATCCAGGCAGCTCTTTGGACTGTTTGAACTGTTTGTAGCGTGTCTTGATGGCACCTAAGAAGGGAAGGGTTCAAAGGGCCCAAAGGTTGTGGCGAGAATGAACATCAAGAGAATATCTATGCAGGGTGTAGGGTAAAATTTCCCACTCAAACCACTGATGCGTACTAGGCACAACAACAAGTAGCAGCAGCAAAGAGTTTTTGTAATCTTTCTGGATCAACGCCGTTCTGCTTGAACACACCCGTGTTTTGTTTTCTGACGTAGAGTGCTGTAGCGCTTCGTTTGCTGTTGTCATATCGACGTTTTTGCGGCGCAGACCTCTCATGATCCATGTTCTTCTGCCACAAGCTAGCTTTCTCAACATCCAAGACAGCTTTCCACCCAAAGCAAAAAACAGTATCGGCTTTCAGCTCGTACTTAGTTTTCCCGGGCTCATCACTGCTGGATGCATCAGACCCAGGCTCATCACTGTCATTGCCCTCTTCAGGTTCAGCACCAAACAAAGTTGGTGTCGGTTTGCGGACACTGGCACTGGATGAGGAAATAGTCGATTTTGTTTTCCTAGGTCTCCCAATCACAGACTCTTCCTCGGGTTCTGCACCAAAAGGCCCCACAAAGGCTTGTTGGTTCTGAGGGATTCCACCACCTTCCTCTGGCTCAGTTCCAAAAGGAAATTCCACAGAATCGCCTGGCTCGGCAGGCTCGTGGCCAAAGACTTTCACATTGGCTTGGACGCGAGGCTTCGGGGCCGGGGCCAAGCTCAAGAAGCTTAACCGTTTAGTCTCTTTCTCCTTTGG